TTAGCAGCCCAATAGCTTCAAGTAAGCATGACCTTCAAAGTCAGACATGACTGGGTTTAAATACCAATTTCATGATGTGCATGCTGAATGAGTTTGGACATAACTAGGTACTGAACAAACAGACCTGTGTTGGAAGAAGTGCAGCCAGAGTGCTCCTTGGAGGCCAGGACAGCCAAACTTCATGTCTCATACTTCAGACATATTGTCAGGAGGGACCAGTCACTGGAGAAGGATACCATGTTTGGTAAGGTGGAGGGTCAGAGAAAAAGAGGAAGACCCGCAATGAGATGGATTGGCCAAGTGACAGCATTGATGGACTCAAGCATGGCAACAATTGTGAGGTTGGCCCAGGATCGGGCAGTGTTGCTATGGCTCGGTACCAACTCAATGGCACCTAACAACAACAGCTACCAAAACTAATGGGGCTGATCATCCCTACTGCCTTGGGTCAAGAAGGATTGAAGAAGATAATCACTTGAAAGTTCCTAACTCCGGCTGCTGTTGCTTGTCGCCATCAATCCACCCTGACTCAAGGAGACCTCATGCACAATGGAAGAAAACAGTGCCAGCCTGTGCCATCCCCATGACTGATTTCAGATCAGGCCAGTGTGGTCCCTATAGGTTTTACTGGCTGATATTTGGGAGCACATCACCAGATCTTTCTTCTTGTTCAGCATCAAAGCAACAAGCAAACCTCCACTGACAGGCAGGTGTGGTTGTACACGAGGTGTACTGGCCAAGAAGTGACCCAGAGACTCCTAAGCCACCACTGCCCTATCTGCGCTCGCCTCCTAGTGGAAATGGCCTCTGCTGGCATCTCTGCTGAGCCTGGTAGCTGGGGAGGAGTGTAGCGCTGGTAACTTGCTACTGAGTGAAATCAAACTTGTGAAACCCCTGGTTACTTGCTTCCTCATTTGAAAGAGCAGTTGGTTCCCTTTGAGAAAGATGTTGCAAGTGGGGGGCTCTAGGGGAAGCTCCCCGCTGGCCCATATTCACCCCCTGCCGAAGATTTTCTTGGGTTCCCCACACTGCTGGAAAGTCAAGGCACCCTTTTAAAAAAATATACCAAGTAGATTGTTGTTACTGTATGCCATCAAGCCGATCCAACTCACAGGAACCCTGTAAGACAAAGTAGAACTGTCCCATAGGATTTCCACATCTTTCTCCAAGGAACAGCTGGCAGGTTTGAACCTCCTACCTTACAATGATCAGCCGAACACTTAACTATTCCAACACCTGACTCCTTAATACGTTGCTTCAGATACAATTCACATACCATACAATTCACTTCTTTAAAATACACAATTCAATGGTATTTAGGAGATTCACAGAGTTGTACAACCATTGCCACACTCCATTTTAGAAAATACCCATCACCCCTCAAAGAAACCCATTAGTAGTCAGTCCCCATTCTCTCCTCCCTGCCCGTCCAAGGCAACCTCTAATCTACTTGCTGTCTCTAGGGGTTTGCCTGCTCTGAGTATTTCATATAATGGAATCATTCGGCCTCCAGGTGTTTGTGAGTGCCTGCCTTCACTCAGTGAGTGTTCTCAGTCCCATTAGGGCTGGAACGTGCATCCCTGCTTCATTTGTATTGCTGAATAATATTCCATCGGTACAGCGGGACACGTTTTGTTTTTCCATTCATCGGTTGTGTGGACAGTAAGCATCCTTTTGAATTGAATAGGTTATCTGTAACGATAACTGTGTTTGAGTACCTACCATGAGCTATTTTTAACCCTTACAAAGTACATGTTGTTGTTGTTGTTAAGTGCCATCGAGTCGGTTCTGACCCATAGCGACCCTGTAACAGGGTTTCCAAGGGTGTAAATCTTTACGGGAGTAGAAAGCCTTATCTTTCTCCCGCGGAGCGGCTGGTAGTTTCAAACTGCTGACCTTATGGTTCACAGCCCGATTCGTAACCACTACGCTACCAGATAGTGGCCTATTACTCCTGCTGGACAAACAAAGCAACGGGAATGTAGAGGGGAAGAAGCCCTGTCTGACGCTACACATTGGCAAGTGACAGAGCAGGGATGGCAACAGTGTTGTCTATTAGCACAACTGTTAAATTGTTAAAGCTCTTGGCTGCTAGCTTAAGGATGGTGGTTCGAACCTATCCAGCTGCTTAGGAGAGAAAGACCCATAAAGATAGCCTAGGAAATTCTACGGGGCAACTCTACCCAGTCACATGGGGTCGCTATGAATTGGAATCGATTTGATGGCACCCAACAAGGACAATGTTCTTTCCACTGTACCACAAGACACCCTATGTATGTGTGTTCTCTCCTTCCAATGGATTCAAAGACCAGACAGGAAGACAACCACTCGTTCCCTCAGCACTCATGTGACCTGAATTGGCACCAGGTGCTGAGACCCAGATCCAACCCTCCTGAAGTCACCATTCCAGGTGACCAGGCCAGGTGAGACCCAGATCCAACCCTCCTGAAGTCACCAGGCCAGGTGACCAGGCCAGTTGAGACCCAGATCCAACCCTCCTGAAGCTCCCCATCCAGGTGAGAACTTACCATGTGAGAAGGCAGGTGCTGAGCGCCAGGGAGAGTCTGACCAAGTTCTGGAGACATGAAGCTACTAGAAGGCCTGGGGACAAGGTTTCCAGAGCCAATGATCCCAGAGGACCAGGTGGATTTCCCAGCAGGAGTTGGGTGACCCATGGCAGGGTGTTTGGTGCACAGGAATGGGTCCTGTCCCCCTGGAGGTTGGCAGTGAAGAGGGCGGGGGAGAAGTTAGGACCACACTACTGATGGTCTTGAATGCCAACTCCAGGGGCAGCATTGAATTTTTGAGTGGGGTAATAAGATCAAGGAGTCCCTGGATGAAGCAGATGGTTAACATGCTCGACTGTTAGTCAAAAGGTGGGAGGCCTGAGTCCTCCTAGAAGTTGCTCCGAAGAAACTCCTAATGGCCTGCCTCTGAAAAAGCAGTCATCAAAAACCCTCTGGACACATCTGGGGGTCCCTAGAAGTCAGTTGACTCACAGCAAATGGAAAACAAACTCAAAGCTACCCAAGGTCCATCTTCAGACCTGGCTGCTTGTTTCCCAGAACTCTAGCCCCCAAGTGCACTTTAGTGCCCAGCAGTTGCCTGTTCACGCTGCTTCCCTCAGCCTGGTGACCTACACTCACTGAATGACTGAATGGTGAGTAAATGAATGATGAACTGACTGCCAGCCCTCTCTCCCACCCTCTCCCTCTGTGTCCTCGTCTAGTCCCTTCGCTGGCTCTGTGGAGCAGGACACCTGGTGTGTTCAGGTTCTCCCCTCCCTCCCCTGCCCCCACGGGGGGTGGGGCAGAGGGTCAGGAGTCAATGCAGGGGCCAGCACCCAGCTCATTCCCACCCCTCCCTTGGGAGGCGGCTGAGCAGCTGCAATCCTTCAGGGAGTAAACTGTGACTCAGAGCGGCCAAAGGATCTGCCAGCTGCTAAGTGGAGGAGCTAAGACTCATTTCCATCAAGTGCTTCCAGCTGAGGAGCGGGCAAAGGCAGGAACTCCTGGGGGAGGGGCTTCTTTGAGCCCAGGTCCCAGAATGGTTCCGGGGACCCTCAGTCTAACTGCTGTAGCCCTGCAGGATACTGAGACCAGATTCCCACACCCCTTTTCATACTCACATCCCCCCAGCCGCCCACTCACACCCATGCACACAACATTCCCACACACACATCTCACCAGACACTCCACACTCACACAAACATGCCTCCATACTCACATGCACACACACACACACACACACACACACACACACACACACACACCTCAGGCCCTAAGCCAAGAGGCGGAAGCAGTAAGTTGCCTAAGTCCAAGAGGCTTTATTTTTCTATAAAATCATTCCCCAGAGAAATACATTTCTTAACGCCCAAAGGAAGTAATCGTCCTCTTTAAGAAGAAAACATTCCATAAGTGACCTCAGGAGAAATCTTTCAAACAACTCAGCTGCTTCTCAAAACTCTTGGGGTGGCCTGACTCTTCCATCACAAGTTTTAAAAGCTCCTAGAACTTTCCAGGTACTCTGGAGAGAACCTCCAATGCTAACAGTCTCATTTTACAGATGGGAAAACTGATACCCAAATGGGAGAAGGGCCAGCCCAAGGTCATCCACCATCAAGGCCTTTTATCTGAAGCTCTCCACCAGTTTAACCAAGGTTGTACCTTTGAGGAAGGGCTAGTCCTGCTGTGACCCACCACCCACCCATCATTTTGCTGTACTGTGGTGGCTTTTGTGTGGCTATGATGCAGAAAGGTGTGCCACCAGAATTTCAAATACCAGTAAGGTGAGCCATGGTGGGTACATTTCAGCAGAGCTTCCAGACTAAGACTAAGAAGAAAGGCCTGGCTATCTACTTCTAAAAATTAGCCAGTGAGAACCCTACGGATCACAACAGAACACAGTCTGACTCTCTTGTTTTGGATACATTGTCAGGAAGGTTCATGGCTGCAGGAGGACATTATGTGTGGTGACACTGAGGGTCCGTGAGGCCAGGGGAGACCCTCGGGGAGATGGAGGACACTGGGCCACAACATAACGAGGGACCAGAACATTCTAGCAATAGTGACAATCACACAGGGCCGGGCAGCACTGCGTTCTGTTGTGTGTGGGGTCACTATGCATCAGAGTCAATTCAATGGTGGCTAAGAGCAGACAGCTCACTCTGCTCTGTACCTGAAAATCTACCTGGTGGTGCACACAGGCCTCAAGGCCACAGCCTCCTCCACCATCACATCACCTCCCCTGGGGTGAGCCAGGACCATGTGCCGCAAGAGCCACTCCCTGTTCTCACACTAAGGACGCCACATACTGTGTTCCAGGTCCAGATGATATACCTCCATCGGGCAGCTGAGGGTTTCCTTGCAGTCGGAAGTCCTGGCTGGCCATTAAGTGTCTTTTCTTTCTTTTTTTCTTTGTTTTCAGAGAGGTGTCTTTTGGGACATAGTGGGGAACAATTAGCAAAAGCATCCTCAGGGCTAGAGATGAGAGCTTGTGAATTAGGCAGCTGCAGAGGGGCGTCCTTTCTGGTCTTGGCACTCCCGGTACACCAGGAAGGGGTGGACAAATGTGAGCAGGGTGACAAGCACCAGTGTCATGTTCACCTGGAGGGACGAGAGGACAGGGTGAGTCCAGTCCCGATAAAGGGAGCAGACGGGTGCCTCTTCAGTCAGAATCCCACCCCACTGGAATTTTACTTTACACTCGGACACTGTGTGGCCCTGGAAAAACTACTCTCCTTATTTCCAGTCTGCTTGGTGGGGTGGGCTTCACAAACCAAACAAGCCAAGTGTCCATCAAGTTAACTCTGATGCCTGGTGACCCCATTTGTGTCGGAGTACAATTGTGTGCTCCATGGGGTTTCCAGTGGAAAGTTCACAGTGTTCATTTATCCTGGGGCTTCAGGTACCCCCAGGACAAACCGGGGAACTCCCACTCACACCCTTTGAGAAACAAGCCCAAGGATGTGTCCGCATGTAGCACTATTCCTGTGGGGCCCACCAGGCCAGCTCAGCCGGGACGCTGGACAACCACTGCTGGGGCCACTTGAAGATGCCTCAGTCGGCTGGCCTGGCGAGCCTAAGGCCAGGGACCCTCCCCTTCCCAGGCTACAGTACTCACATAGAGTGGGTCGTTCTGAAGGGGTCCTTTGATGAGGGTAAAGATGGGGAACTGGCACAGAGACACAATGGCTGACAAAGCCATCACCAGCCCGAAGAGCTTCCCAAAGTGCTCGGGAGGGAAACTGGGGAGCGAGACCAACAGGGCTTCCAGTGAGCTTTGGGAGCCTCCCACTGGTTCCCCAAATGCCCCAACCCAGATCTCCCTTTTACCCACCCCTACCCCGCTGCCTGAGCATTCGGACCCCAGAACACAGAGAACTCCTGCATTGGGCTCTGAAAAGGCAGGAAGGACCCAGGCTGTGCCCCAAAGAAAAGACACACCTAACTATGTGCACAACATCAGAAAAGGTGAGACAAGAAAGAAGGAAAGAAACAAGGTAGGGGGAAAACAAGGTAGGGGGAACACAAGTAGCATCTGGCCTTGGGAAGGTGAACAGGAGTTCACCAGGCGGCCAGCAGGAGGCAGAGGTGACAACAGATGCAAAGGTTCAAGTGCATGAAGGCTCTCTCCCTCCCAGCAGCCTCCACCTCCAGGTATCACCCCCTCTGTGCTGTTGTTAGGTGCAGTCAACTCACAGCGAGCCCACACACAACACAACAGAACACTGCCCAGTCCTGCAACGACCTCACAATCTGTGCTATGCTTAAGCCCATTGCTGTACCCACTTTGTCAGCACACTGAGGGTCTTTCTCTTTTTCACTGACCCTCTCCTTTACCAAATACAATGTCCTTCTCCAGGTACTGGAGATAACATGTCCAAAGCATGTGAGACAAAGTCTCTCCATGCTCACCTCTAAGGAGCATTCTGGATGTACTTCTTCCATAATTCACCCCTTTATACCTGCCACCCCAAGCCATGTCTCCCTACCCTGGTCACCTCCAGGCCCACCAGATTGCTCTATCTCCAGCACACCCACCTCTGCCACCAAGGATACATCCCAGCCCGACTTACGCAAGGGTGAGGAAGGCTGCGTTTCCCCCGTAGAGGAAGGAGCGGCTGATCACCTGCAGGATGAAGGTGAGGTACTGCAGGGAAAGGACAGGAACAGAGGCGCAGAGGGCAAAGCCCACGCACAGCAGGGACGTCAGGGCCAGCGAGGGTACCGTGGAGCGGAGGGTCACCACCGAGGCCGAAGTGCCTGTCCCAGAGGGAAGAGGAGAGGTTGCTGGAGGAGAGCGCAGCAGGGGAAGGGGAAGGTGAGGGAAAGAAAGATGCAAAACATCATCTTCTCCTGGAATCTCACCGTGCTAGAAAGTCAGACCGCTACATAAAGCTGTGGGATTTAAGTACCAAAGGCCAGAAACACCAAGCCAATACAGGTCCCAAAGGCCAAAGGTGGGATGGTCCGAGCATCAAGAAGAACCACAGCAGCGCTATTAAAAAAGAGACTTTCAAGGGAAACAATGCATGGTCCCCACCGTAAGTTGCTAGGGCACCAGCTCCTTACTCTGAAAACTGGTAAGGAGAGGGGAAATGCCAACCGTTTCTTCTTTTTCTCTTTTCTTGAACTTTTTATTATTAATTGCGTGAAAGCCGATCCATTTTCCATCCAACAACTCAGACACATTTTGCTTCAAGTCACGGACTGCAATCCCCACAATGCAACATCACTCATCCCACTTCCTCTCTGTGCGTCTTGCTTTCATTACTCCTGCTTTCCTAATGTGAGAATAAAAGTGGACAGCTGAGAGTAGGGCTCAGAGCAAGAATCGCCGCTTCAGGCATAAGAGCTTGCTCTGAGACCTGCTTCAGGCTGGGGCCATAAGGACAACCAGGCATGGCTAGGCAAGTCCCCAACAGAATGTCTCAAGAGACACAAATGCAGGGTAAAGAGCACACTCGTAAAACTGTCACAATTGAAGACTCACAGGACAGGTGGCCGGAACAGGTAACAGATAAAATGAGGCCGGCAGGACTGGAAAAAGTCTTAGTACTATAGGTCACTTATGTGATGTTATGTTTAAATCTATTGGATCCCGCGGTTTCTGAATGCTCCATTGGGTAAAAGCTGTAATCCTAGTTTGCATATCCCCCTCCCATGGTGTGTCCCAAAACCCTATATAAGGTGTGGTTTGTGAACTGCTTGGGGTCGAGCTTTGGTGAGCTGATGCAGTAACCCTGCTGTAACCCTGATGTAACACTGCTGAACACTACACTGCCAGCCGCCACTCGACCCTAGCATGCTAGCTTGAATAAAGCCTGCCTGCTTTTGCATTATCTTTGTCTCTTGGTCTCCTTATTGGGTGGTGGTCTCGGACCCTAACACTAACCCTTCTGAACGTTATTGCTGTTATGTGCTATGGAGTCGGTTCCAACTCATAGCGACCCTGTACAGGGTTTCCGAGGCTGTAAATCTCCACAGGAGCAGAAAGCCTCCTCTTTCTCCCACAGAGCAGCTGGTAGTTTCGAACTGCTGACTGTGAGATTAGCAGCTTGGTAGCCATGGGTAAACTCTGTCCTTTTGATCTCAAAATGGTGGATTATTCTAAGATGTGCTTACTGTTCTTCTATGGACCTGTCTGTTGTTTGGCTATTAATTAAGCACTGGTGGTGAATTTAGCTCCAGACCTAAAGGGGGCCATAGTCTCAGGGGCCCACCAGTCTCTGTCCAACCAGTAAACCTGACCTTGTTAATGAGTGTGAGTTTTGCTTCACATTTTTCTCTTGTTCTATCCAGGACCTTCTAGCGTGATCCATTTCAGATATTCTGCCTCTCTGTATGAATGGATTTCAGGGGAACAAAACAGTCAATGCAGAACAGTTTTTCTTTTTTTGTTTCTAAAGGAATTCTAGCTATAAAAAGCGATTCTGGGAGAGGAAAAAATAAAAAGCAGTTCTGGATGATAGAAATAGAAAGTCATCACTTTGCAATTTAAATAAAATAATGCGTCTTGGCATTGATCATCAATGGCTGCTAAAATCATTAGGCATTCAGTTGATGGGAAACTTTGTAATAGAAGGATCAGGCTGACAACCGCTGAATCCGTTGATCAATTGTAACAGTATAAAAAGAAAGGCAACAGATAACCAGGGCCTGCTGGGATACCATCAGAAGCCCGAGGCGCCACTTCTGGATTATTCTTGCCAGAAAAATAAAAAAAATTAAACTGCTTCCTCTCAAGCAGCTAACCTCCCTGCTTACAGGAAACACTCAATCAAAGGGCATTTTTTGGATGACACCAAAGGCATACCAAATCCTTCCCAAAAGGACAATGATACTAAACTCATCAGGACTAAGGGCCCAGTTTCTTCAACACGTAACTGACAAGGAAAAACAAGGGCTGCCGTTAGAGATTTGAGCCACAAGCATCTTGTGGACCGGGTATAGATCTGAATTTGAACAAACCAACGTATCAAAAGACGCTATTTGAGACAAGTGGGGAAATTTGAGCAGTAATACATATCAGATGATGTTAAGGAATTACTGTTATTTTTGTAGGCGTGATCATAATATTATGTTGTTAGCTGCTAGCAAGTTAGCTCTGAACTCATGGCAAACCCTTGCACAACCCAGTGAAATCACCCTAACAGAGCATGAAATATCCAGACTAAGATGGATTAGCAAGACTGGTAGCTGGTGAGCTACTTCCAAGGAGGTAAAAACAGTATGGCTCACACAGACTGATCTATAACCCATCAAGGGCTGGTGCAGCACTGGTAGTGTTTGGCTCCATCATTCATGGGGTTGCCTTGAATTGGAGGCTCAGTGGATAGCAGCTGCCAACAGGAACAACTAGAGGGTGAGTGAATGCAAGTTAGAACAAGACAAGATGAGCATGGAGGTAAGAAAGATCTCTCCACTCCTGGCCCAGGTCTCACCAGTCCTTCTGGCTTCCTTCTGGTACTTGTCCTTGAGTCTGTCCATGAGCAGACCATTCCAGGGGGCACACAGCATGCCGAAAAACTGAGTGATGGCAAATGCATTTGTGTAGCTGCTGACTGTGGATAGCAGAAATGGAGTTGGGGGATGAGAAAGAAGACATTTCCAGAACGGCCTTATGTGAGGCCTCTCCCATCCTGCCATGCTCTGCCTATCCCTCCTCCCCACATCCACAGATCCCCCTCCAGAGCAGAGCCCCATGCTCCTTCAAGTTCTGGGCCCCCAACTGAGCTGAGTACATACCTAGTGCCCTGTCCCCAGCAGCCAGGTTAGTCAGCAGAGAGTTGAGCGTGCCAATGAAGAGGTAGTGCCACAATTGGATCACAGACAGCCACACCAGGTGCCAGGCAAACCGCCGAGAGAAAGCGTAAGTCCAGAAGGAGCGGGGTTCTTGCTGCTGCCCTGACCCAGGGTTCTCTGAGGGAATAGGAGGATCCAGCATGAATCACTAGGGTAGAGGGTGGGGTGGGCAAAAGATCAGAGGCTTCAATGGGACCACCTTCTAACCTGTCCACCAGAACTCACCAGCATACTCTCCATACTGTCCCCTAATTCATACTTTTAACATCCTGGTCCAACCACCTTGAATGGCCCCAAGTTCTTCTCTGTCTCCTGAAATCTGATCGCTCACAATCTGGTTTCGGTGATATACCAGATCTCAGAGATACCGTGGTTCAGGTCCAGATCACCCAAATAAAGCCAGCATCATGGGAAAGCAAGTCACGTGGATTTTGTTGCTTCCCGGTGTATGTGAAAGCTACATTTACACTATCCTGTATCTATGAAGTGTGCCATGGCATTAGGAAACTGTCTGAATACTGTGAGGGTGAACAGTGTGACTGAGACAAAAAGGAACCACACGCTGTTGGGAAAACGGCACCAAGGGACCTGCAGGGTTATCACCAGCCTTCAATTGGAAAAGGGAAAAACAAAACAAAAACCCTGTATCTGAGGGGATAAGATTCTTATGATTCAATAATGAATAGTTGTTATCATGACAAATTGTAACTGTCACAACGGTAAAAGTTGAAGTTTTGTAACATAAAGGGGGAGTCGTTAATCTTACATTCCAGCAACAGAGAACCCTAGGGCCACCAAGGGAGAAGAGCATGAGCAGAATGTGGGACCCTAGCCAGCGAAGCAGGGACACCAGAGATGGAGGCAAAGATGATGACATGGAGAGAGGGAGCAGCTGAGGACTCTAGAGTCATGGCAAGAGACGGGCTGAGAGCTGGCAGCCAGGAGGCAGGCTTGCAGAATGTGCTATTTGATTGTTTAAATGATTATATATTCCTGAGTGTTTTTATGTACATCTCCCCACCCCCTAAAAAAAAAATAGAGGGAATAGAAGCAAACACTGCTGAATGCTGATGCACGGAGGAGACAGTAATCGTTGCAATGAAACGATGAGTGTAAAACCGATGTTCTCCCATATAAACTATCACTCAATTCACAATAAAAACATGAAATTAAAGAAAAACCCTGTATCTGAGATACACAATAAAACTAGGTATGCCTATGCTTCTTCCATTAATGTTTTCCTCGTAATTCTCAGAAATGAAAGCCAAGGAGAGGAGAAGCCAGAGGTAGAGATGAGAGTGTGTGGAGAGAGACTGTATTTTCCTTTCTTTTGGTAACATCTGAATTTCCTCTGGGACTCTCCACCTTGCCTACTCAACATGGCACTGTGAATTAAATGTGCAGCCCCCACCCTGGGGTGAGCCTCAGGACCCATGGTTGGCCAATGTGATGGTTCTCCCCATTGAGACAGCCTAGCTGTGACTTTAGACTTTAGACTGGGATGGCAGGGACTTCCTGGTTCTAACTGGCTGCTGAATGAGCTTCCCCGATCCTAGTCTGATCTCTGTTTGAATCAGCCAGCCGTGGTTACAGATGTTTGTAACCAAAGAGCCAAAACAGACAAGAGGAGGGAAAGGAGGCAGCGATGGGGCTGGGATGATAGACTGGAAGGCCCAGGAGACCTTCAGACACAGGACACATAAGGCAGACCTGGTGTGATGAAAGCATGGAGGAGGCAGAGCTGAGGGGAAAAGGAAGAAAGAGGGCAAATGGTGGAAAACAGACTTCAGGGGGCATGACATGACGAAGAGCAAAACGGAGAGGAAGATAGAGATGCTGGGGGCTCAGTTCTAGTGGCCGTGATGCTCTGGACTCTCTGAAATGAGGAGGTTGACAAGATGACCCTAAGTCCCCATCACAGGCTGGATCAGGGCTGATGTTTTGGGCTCACCATCCTTCAATGACAGGAGCTCCCTGGACTGTCGCTCTGTCTTTCCAGACTCCGCTGGTTTCGTCTCCGTGGAGCAATTCCTAGGGCACAGGCTACAGACACAAGTCCCATCAGCCCAAAGCCAGGGCTGTGAACTGAGCCGAGACTCAGGCCAGAGGGAGCAATGAAACAGATTCCCAATCTCTTGGATTCCAAATCAGATCACAAACACATACTCTGTGTGTGTGTGTGTGTGTGTGTGTTTGTTGGGGGGCGAGAGCCAGGCTTCCTTTTTTTTTTTTTTTTAAAGATGTCCAATGAGGCATCGGTGGTTCCATGGTAGAACTGTCACCTCTCATACCAGAGACCTGTGTTTGATTCCCGGCCAACGCACCTCAGTGGAGGCTTGTATGTTGCTATGATGCTGTACAGGTGGAACTTTCAAACTAGGACCAAAGGCCTAGCGATGGGCTTCGAAAATCAATCAATGAAACCCTACGGACACACACCGAACATGGGACTAGCCAAAACCAGGCAGTGTTTCATCCCATTGTGCATGGGGTCACCATGAGGCAGGGCCAACTCGACAGCAGCCACCAACGACAACTAATGATATCCAGTGGTTCTAACAGGCAACAGCATTTACGAACCACTAAGAGTGTCAGAAGAGTCCAAAAGGCCTGGGTTCAAATCCCAGCCCTGCCTCTTCCCAGCTGTGGGAACGTGGCTGAGGCTGAACTCTTCTGAATGCTTGTTTTTCTCCTTTGGGAACTGGAAATACGGGTATCTATCTGAGCCTGGTGGTACAGTGAGTTAAGCAGTAGGCTATAACCAAAGGGTCGGTGGTTCAAACCCACCAGCCACACTGCAGGAGAAAGATAAGGCCGTCTACTTCGTAAAGACTGGCAGCCTTGGCAACCCTGCAGAGCAGCTGTATTCTGTCCTACAGGGTCACTATGAGGCAGAATCAACACGACAGCATGGGTGGATGTGAGGCTGAATCCGAAAGCACATGGGACTGCATGTGACTGTCCACTCCTGGGGCCATCCATTATAAGGTGCTCGCAACTCTTCCCCTTTATCCCCTACCCTCTGCAGAGGGGCTGCGGCAGATGAAGAGACTATTTCCCACCCATTGAATCCAGTGGGTCTCATGAACTTTAGGCACAAGAATGCAGCAGAAGTGATGCTGTACCAACTCTGAGCTGAGTCCTCAAAAAAACATAGATGTTTCTGCACTCCCTCTTGGCTCCCTGTGACCAGCAGGTGAGCAGGCCCAAGACAGTCTGCTGGAAGGAACAGTGTCATGTACCCCAGTTGTTGCTTTCCCCCAAAACCAGACAAACCACGTGAGTGAGGCCATCCAACACCACCCAGCCCCCAGCTGACCCATCAGGTGACCACAGATACAAAGTCAAGCCCTGCTGGGGCTCTTCAAACCCGGCCTGACCAGCAGACACACCCAGCTACCCAAACATCAAAACCAAGCCAGTTGCTATCAAGTTGTTTGTGACTCCTGGCAACCTCCCATGTGCAGAATAGAACTGCACTCCATGGGGTTTCTAAGGAAGCACATCACTAGGTCCATCTTCCAGGGTGCCTCTGAGTGGGTTCAAACCACCAACCTTTTGGTTAGTAGTCAAGGACTTAACCATTTATGCCACCCAGGGACTCTGTGAAAACCAGTAAATGGTTGCTATTTGGGGCCACTGGGTTTATGCAACACTAGCTAACCACTACATCCTGTCGTGGCGCTGTGGGTTAATGCGCTGAACTGCAAAGTTGGTTTGAACTCCAAGGTCGGAGTTCAAGCTCACCAGCTGCGCCTCAGAAACCCTATACAAGGTCGCTATGGGTCAGAACTGATTCGATGGCTCTTAACAACAACAACATCCACTGTAGTCCTACTATCCTGTGACAGGGATCCTCTGCCCTATCTCATGCCTGTCCACCTCCGCTTTTCCTCCCGGGTCAGATGCAGGCCTTTGCCCACACTCCCCAGACTACAGTCTTTACCCATAGTGGTAGTTGGGGGGCAGTGGGAAGGGGATGTGCCCCCGAGGCATCAGAAGGAAGGTGCGCCCGACATGCCAGGCGCTGCAGATGGAGAGGAAGAGGAAGGAGGCCCTCAGGCTGATGTTCTGCTCATACAGGAGCTGCAGAGAAAGGGAGGAGACAGCAGCATGAGAGAGAGGCAGGGGCTGGTGCCCCAGTGTCCACCACACCGGAAGCTGATTAGGAGCACCCAGCACATACACAGCCCCCTACCCTCGCCCAAAGACCCCACAAGCATATCACCCACCCACACCTCCTGCAGTGTCCAGGTGTGGCTCCCAGACGTCATCTAGCCCACTGCCTTCTCTTCAATGGCAGCGAAGTCATTTTGCCCAAACAAAACCTTACACAAAAATCCACCTTACACAACAGATCAGTGGGAAGCTTCCCAGCCACTCTCCCTCTCACTCCCCTTGGTGAGCCCCATGAGTTCCTGGGAGCTCAGTTTTAAACCACTGATGGAGCCCCATCTCCTCTCTGGACAGAAGATGACACTGAGGTCCACAGAGGTGTGATGAATTTGCTTCCAGTCGGAGCAAGCAGCAGGAGGGCTAAGTTAAACTAAGAAGTCTGGCTTCAGCTCCAATGCTCACGGAGAGAAATGGCGGCACACCAAGGGGAACGAGGGAGAACCTGGGAGGTGGCTTAAATGTCGCTGGGTGTCAGATTCAACTAGACTCCTGGCTGGGTAGTGGCTTCCAGTGCTCCTTCTCTTGCCCCATCGCCCACAGGCTTCGTCAGCTGCCCAGAGGGCTGTCCCAGGTTGGGCAGCTTGGCTGTCAGAGATGCACGCTCTTTCAGCCCTGCCTCTCTACCACCTTTAATGTGCTAGCTTTTGTCCTCCAGCTTGTTGCCCCATAGTCACAAGGCAGCGGCCCCGACTCCAACTATCACATCTACCTCCACCATTCAGAGAGGAAAGGTATGATGGGAGATCAAAAGGGAGGACTGTCTTTGTGCTCCAGTCTCACCTTTCATCAGGGAAGAAAATGCCCCCTAAATTCCTCTAGTATACACACCCTCTCCATCTCATTAACCAGGCCCAGATCACACGCCTACCTCTGCTTATCACTGACAAGGGCACACTGTTGTTTAGATAAAACTGTTAGCAATGAAGCTAGTCTGCTGGAAGGAACCTTGTGGTCTGCAGTCCAGTGCTGGTCCTCCACTTAAGGCCAATGACCCAACCACTTCATGGCCATGCCCTCCTTCAGCCTCTGCCCCCAAATCCTAAGTAAATGTGAAGAAATGGCTTCATGACATCAGGCTGGAGAACCAGACAAGTCTGGGTTCAAGTTCAAGCCTCACGCTTACTAGCTGCAGGGTCATGAGCAAGCATCTTGGCCTCCTTGAACATCATTGCTTCTTCAGTAAAATGGAGATAAGATGGTACCTCAGAGGGTTGATGGAAAGAAAGCACAACCTGTTCATAACATCAGGCACGTACACATGCTCAGTAAATACTGGCTCTTGCCGTTTCTTACCTTAATGATAAGGAAGACAGCTGAAGAGGAGTCAAATGCCCCATTGTGGAGGGTGATGATGGTAGAGCGGTGTTTGCCAAATAGGTTCCCAACCTGCAGAACGTATGAGAAATAAGAGAAGAATCACTTCTTCATTCATGAAACCAGTAGACCCTGGGCACATAGTGCTCGTAATACTCACGCCCAACCCTCTGCCTCAAGAGCTACAACCTGGCCTTGGGACAGTCCTACTGAGGCAGCCAATCAGAGAAAAGGGCTTCTCCCTCCCCTCCACGCTCTTCTCTACCCTCCCTCCCAAAGCCCCTGGCCAGATGTCTGGTGCTAGAGTGGGCTCACACCTGCAGGTTGGTGATGAGAAACAGGATTCCGCCCACAGTTAGCATAGGCATGGCCAGGAAAAGCAGCAGAGCTGAGTCTGGAACAATCGAAGGGTGGGGGGGAAGAATTGTTAAGTGCAACCCAACATGGAGCCCCCAACTTTGGCACATGCTTGTTTTTCTCCAGAAAGCCTTGACTTCTGTCTGCTCCATTGTCTCAACAATCCTGCAGTCTGAGCCCCTATTCCAGCCGGGAACATCCTTCAAGGGTCCCCAGGTCTCCTGAGGCACCTTCTCCCCAAGCTGGGATGTCCATTGAGGCAGGACGTAGGGGGATGCCAGCTCCCTTCCCTCATTAAACCACCAGGAGCACCCTCCTATGCACCTGACACAGTGAGGAGAGGACCCTGGACATGGACCAACTCTAATTCACTGCGAGAGCTTGAGCTGGCTTCTGAATCCGTGGCTCGGTCCCCCCACCTGTGAAATTGGACTAACAGTCCCTGCTCTCCGTGCCTTTTTAAATGCTGTGAGAATTGAGTGAGAACATGTTTTAAAAAGTTTAAACCCAGTGCCGTTGAGTCCACTATGTAAGACTCATGGTGGCCCACTGTGTGACCCCATGTGTCACACACTAGAACTGCTCCACAGGGTTTTCTTGGCTATAATCTTTGCTGAGAGCAGATGGTCGGGTCTTATTCCATACCACCATGGGGTAGCTTTGAACTACCACCCTTTAGATTACTTGTTCCAGCTCATAGCAACCACGTATAGGGTTTCCAAGGAGTGGCTGGTGGGTTTGAATTACCAACCCTATGGTTACTATTCCAGGGCTTATCCTACAGTGCCCTTGAAAGTAGCGCCAAGCAAACAAATCTTTACAAGAGACCTGCTAAGCATCAGAGAACAGCAGTGCCAAGAGGGAGAGTCCTTGATGAACTTGTCTGTCCACATAGACTCTGACAAATCTTCATGATTTGGGTCCTAAGCTACACCTGCCCTGTTATACACTAAAACAGTCTTCTTTATACCAACTCGCATTCATCCAGAAGAAATCTATTTGACAGGAAACTTTGTTTTACTGCTGCAAATGAAAGCACTGCTGTGAATACAATCAATACAATGGAAGGAAAACAATGTTATTAAGTAGTAGACAGATTCTGGAGCCCAAAGAACACTAATTGCCTGAGACCTGCCCTTGACACAAAGGAGCTCTGGTAGCGTAGTGGTTATGAATCGGGCTGCGAATCGCAAGGTCAGCAGTTCTAAACTACCAGCTGTTCCGCAGGAGAAAGATGAGGCTTTCTGTTCCCGTAAAGATTTACAGCCTCGGAAACCCTGTACAAGGTCACTATGACTCCGCGGCACATAACAGCAACAAGCCCCAAATTGAGAGTTTCTTTCATGACATTCACAGGACTGAAAATAAAAACCCACTGCTGACAAGCTGATTGTGACTCACAGAGCCCTTAATGGAGAGAGCAGAACAACCCCTTAGGGTTTCCAAAAATCTCCATGCACTTGAATCATGCTGTTGGAGAAGACTATTCAAAGTACCATGGAAGAAGTACAGCCAGAATGCTCCTTAGAAGCTGGGATGTTGAGACCTTATCTCTCATACTTCGGACATGTTGTCAGAAGGGACCAGTCCCTGGAGAAAGACATTATGCTTGGTAAAGGGGAGGGTCAGCAAAAAAGCAGACCCCAATGAGATGGATTGATACCATGGCAGCAGCAATGGGCTCAAATAAAGCAACTACTGTGAGGCGGATGCAGGATTGGGCAGTGTTGTGCACACGGTTGCTATGAGTTGGAACAACGACAATCTTTGTAAGAACAGACAGCCTCCCACAGAGCAGCTGGTGGGTTTGAACTGTCAACCAGGCAGTGAGCAGCCCACTGCTTATCTACTGTGCCACCAGGGCTACTTAGAAGGACTAAAGGAAAAAGAAAAGGGAAGCAGTTTTCCAGCAGGTGTTGGTGGAAATGTCTGTGACCGTAGCACCACGTGCTCCCCTCCCATCCATGTAAGCTTGCTCTCTGCCTGGAGAAGTCCTGAAAAGTGCTGGCTGTACAGTGCTCATATCAGGCATCGTTCGGCCTGTCGTGATAAGAATGCACAACTCTACTAATGTACTCGAGGTTGATGGAGATTCCTTCCAAAATCAGTATGTGTGGCTCAGTTCCCAAACAAACCCCGACAAAAGCCCTATTTTATTAGGGTCCAGTTGCTGCGGAGAAGATGACTTACGGTGGCCCATTTGTGTCGGAGTCGAACTGTGTTCCACAGGACTTTCGATAGCTGACTTTTCAGTAGATCACCAGCCCATTCCATTGAGGTGCCTCTGGGTGAACTTGAACTGCCAACCTTTCAGTTGGTAGTCAAGCAGCTTAACTGTATTACCCAGGAACTCAGTTTAGCAGGAGGGGGCACTACTGCTCAACCAGTTCACAAGTACAGGTATCGCCACCTCTACAGTCAGCCATTGTAGTCATTCACAGGGTTTTCGAGACGAAGCTGTTTCCAGGGGAGAGTGGTTTCCCATAACTGGTGGGGGTGCCAGGCTCTCTCAGGAGAACTGGCTGAATAAAGACACTCCGAGTCCGTGTTTGCTGAGAGCAAGCTTCAGGATAGGAACCATCCACACTACAATTATGTACTACCAAAATAAAGCCCCGTGGTCTGACATTGGGGCAGAATATTGAAAGGTACCTCACAGCCAGCACCAACCAGGTGCTAGGAAAGACCACAATCCAAAGTCAAGAGATCACATCCCAGGCCGGTGCCACCAACTAACCCTAGGGCCTTGGCCAGACCTTGCAAGTGGTCTCTCTCTGGCCTCAGTTTCCTCCTCTACCCATAGGGTATTGGAATTCGAAGACTCTGGGGTTTTATTGTTGTTTCTAGCTGGACCCCAACTCCTGGCGATCCCATAAATGGAATGAAAAGCTGCGGGGTCCCACACCACCACCCCATGATCACTTGAGGACTGGACCATTGTGGCCATAGTGTCTTCACTGGTTGATTTTTCTGGCATAGATTGCCAGCCCTTTCTTCCTACTCTTACTCTGAAAGATCCACTGAAACCTATCCAACATCATAACAACACAAGCCTCCACTGACAAGTGGGGGATGGGAAGGCTACACATGAAGTGTATTATCTGGGACTCAAACCCGGGACTCTGGCATAGAAGGAGAGAATTATATCACCGAACCACAGCTGCCCCATGGGAATCTTATAGACTAATAACACTTGAAAATACCACCTTTGGCCACAACACTAATGTCAACTTTCACTGTGCTAAGGAAGGACATTTTCAAAAACAACTTTCATTCATATTATTATTTCATTTTTTAAAAAAGAGAACATTTTAACCCATGTAAAAGGAAGAACAGAATCTTTTGGTTCTGTTCTACTCTCTGAAGAAACCCCTCCATTGTCCTTATTTCCCACATTTCCCAGTTGTCTAAAGTGTCTTCACAGAGCAGTAACATCAGTCTTTCTCAAGCATTCTTTCAAGCTCAGGCAAAGGTGGTGGTTCCCTGAAGAACCACAAGGGGGCAGTGTGTCCTGCCCATCACCTGTCCCATAGGTCAGCCACTCTTGGTGTCGTCCCTGTTCAGTTTCACCCTCCCGCCCAACTGACAGCACTCACCTGCAGAAATGAAGGCTATGGTGAGTGTGCCACTAGTGTAGAGAAATCTGAAAAACACAACAGGACAAGGAGAACTTTATCAAGAAAGAAGACACATGGTGGACAAAATTGAATTCTGCTCACTCAGTCTCCACAAATTACATTTGACTCTTGTGGTCTCAGTCTAGAGATCCAACAGGCAAAGAATAATGCCTCTCCTGTCCCAAGCCCAGAGCCAGGTGCAAGGAGTCCCAGTGTGGTTGAGCTATGGGCCTGACTTCACAGACCAGTGCATTTTACCCATCCCACCCCATAGAGTCTACATGGATGGAGCAAAGCTTTGGGTCCCCTTCATCTGCTGACGAGGCACAATTCAGAGTGAGAAGAAACATCTGCAAACAGTCATTAATAATCGGAACAGGGATGTACGGAGTAGGAAGTTAGGAAAGTTGGACTTCATCAAAACAGAACACATAAAGATCAATAATCCTAGGAATTAATGCGATGAAATGGACAGGAATTGGACAAGTTTAATCCAAGTCATAGGGTTTACTGTGCCAGAAATGACAAACTGAAGAAGAATGGTGCATATTCATTCTCAAAAAGAACACTTCATGATCTACCTTGAAATAGAATACTATCTGTGATAGCATAACATCAATACAGTGAGCACTAGATTGCAAACCACAAGGTCTATGGTTCAAGCCCGCCAGCCGCTTCCTGGGAGAAAAATTAGGCCTTCTGCTCCCTGATTTAGAGCCTCGGAAACCCTACAAGGGGTCATTATGAATCAGAACCAACTCAACAGCACTTTACAACGTACCAATCAGGAAAATAAATTAATGCCACTATTACTTAAATTTGCACACCAACCACTAAAGCCAGTGATGATGAAATTTAAGACTTCTACCAACTTCTTCAAGGACCTCTGGTAGCATGGTGGTTACAAATCAGGCTTCTAACCTCAAGGTCAGCAGTTCAAAACTACCAACTGTTCCACGGGAGAAAGATGAGGCTTTCTGCTCCTGTAAAGATGTGCAGCCTATGAGTCAGAACCCTATTCCATGGTACTTAAGAACACCAACCAACTTCTTCAGTTTGAAATTGATCAAAGAAAAAAAGGGAGCATTGATAATTAATAGTGATTGGAATGTGAAAGGTGGAAACAGCAAGGAAGGATCAGTAATTGGGAAATATGGTCTTCATGACAGAAATGATGCTGAAGACCGCATGACAGAATACTTCAAGACCAACAACTGATTGATTGCAAATACCAAATGGTGACCATACACATGGACCTCACCAGATGGAATACACAGGAATCAAATTGACTATACCTATGAGAAGAGACGGTGGAAAAACCCTATGTCATAAGCCAAAATAAGGCCAGAGGAAGACTGTGGAACAGACCATCAATTGCTGTTCAGGCTGAAGCTGAATGCAAGTTAATGCTGAAGCTGAAGAAAATTAAAACAAGTCCATGAGAGCCAAAATACAACCCTGATTATATCTTATCTAAATTTAAAAACTATCTCAAGAACAGATATGACTCATTGAACACTAATGATTGAAGACCAGAAGAGTCATGGGATAACATCAAGAGCATCCATCATACATGAAGAAAGCAAAAGATCATTAAAAAGATAGAAAAGAAAGACCAAAATAGATATCAGAAAAGACTGAAACGTTCTCTTGAATGTAGAGAAACTAATGCAAATAGAAGAAATTATGAAGTAAAAGAGCTAAACAGAACATTTCAAAGGGCAGCTCAAGAAGACAAAGTCAAGTATTACAATGAAATGAAGAAAGACCTGGAATTAGAAAACAAAAAGGGAAAAGTATGCTCAGCATTTCTCCAGCTAAAAGAACTGATAAAAAAAAATTTAAGCCTCAACTTTTGATATTAAAGGATTCTATGGGCAAAATGTTGAATGATGCAGGAGACATCCAAAGAAGATGGAAGGGAGGAGGCAGGGCTTAATGGTGGATTAGGGAGATGTACAGTATAGCAGTAACACCAAATACCGGACAAAGCAGGTTCAGGGGATGGTCCCAGAACTCTGAACTATATATAGAGGGATATTTAGAAAGTTTGAAGGCTTACAGCCAGTAGAATTTGAAGCAGAAGCAAGAAACGTGTTGTTTTCTGATCTGCAGCAGCCAACCGGCTCCTGGAGTAGCCATCTGGGGCATGACAGGGCGGGTGAAGAGATAGATGTCTGGCGATCATCAGAGATAAAGGTGTGGACATTCTTTCTCTGTTTTTTGGTCTCTCACGGTCCATGCACATCCACTCTAGTGGCTAGAGGGGGTGCCTGAGTGAGTGGAAACCCCCCACACACAACCCTGGAGCATTCTACTACGCATGCACACGGACCTGCTCAGCAAAAAACACTAAGAAGGGTCACTGCTTAAGACAGCTACAGCTGGCCCTGATCTATTTATCACTAGGAAAAAGTCCTGAACTGAGGTTGTGGAGTGGGAGAGAGATAGACTAAAAAGGAAATAGGCCGAAAATTAAGTCCCAAGTTACATCATAAGGACCAACAGTGACATCTTGACATTTCTCAGGCAGCCTTTGAAGGCAAGAAGCCAAGAGACGGACGTTAAAGTCATACTCATATTTTGCTACAGAATTATTATTTTTTCTTTTTTCTGAAATTATAGACTATAGTATCCAATCTGCGTATTTTTGCTGTTGCTGTTTTGTTTGTTGGTCCCCTTTTTACCTTTATGGGGTTCTTCCTCTCCCTACATTACTAAGAAGAGACAGCAATTGCAGTCGTACAGTCAAACTACAATTGTTGTTGTTGTTAAGTGCCATCAAGTCAGTTCCTCCTACCCATAGCAATCCTGCTTAGAGTTTTCAAGGAGCATCTAGGGAGCTGGAACCGCTGACCTTATGGTTCAAACCAACTTTGCAGTCCAGCGCATTAACCCACAGTGCCACACTTGGACTCCAGTCAAGCTACAATCACTCCCGATAAAGCCCCACCATCCAGGCAAGAACTAATACCAGCTGCTATACACCAGATAGGCAGCCAACACCTGCTACAGTTACTTGGAGTTGAGTAATAAGAAGAGTGAGAAGGAAAGCCCATCTCCTGATCTACCTGGAGGCAATCTGAAAGCATAATAAAACATCAATATACATTCATCTAATTATTAAGATCACAGCTAACTACTGAAGATGCCCAAGAAACAGCTGTCCATATGGGCACATGTCCAGAAACAAGATAGAGTAACTGGGACAAATTAGCAGGAGATAGAACTAGACATCACATTGGAAGGAGGGCAAGCTTTGAAAATGCCTGAGAAGGAATTCAGGAAAAAGATACTAAGATATATCCCAACACTCCACATAAAAAATATAAAAATAAGGAAGTCAGGAAAGCACTATAGGAACAATCAAATCAGATAGATACAGCATTGGAAACAATTC